CCGGGGGCCTCTGCGCGGGCCCCGTCTCCACCCCGTGGCGGTGCTGGTGCCGGAGCAGCGGCGCCAGGGCCTTGAAGGCCCGGGGGCAGAGGGCGCAGCGGTAGGGCCGCTCCCCGGTATGCAGGCTGTAGTGGGCCCGGAGGCTGGCAGGGCCCGGGCAGCTGTGGCCACACACGTGACAGCGACTCGGGTCCCCACCCTGCCCGCCGCCCTCAGCGCCGGCCAGGTGGCCGTGTTCGTGGAACAGCAGCTCGGACACCAGCCGGAAGGCGGCTGGGCACAAGGCACAGTGGAGAGAGCCTGGCTCCGGCGGCTCGGGGACCAGCGTGGTGTCGGTCACCTTCACCACCTGGATCTCTATGAGGTCACTCGGGGGCGTAGCGGGGCGGCCGTCATCAGGAACCAGCACCTGGGGAAACGGGAGGAGAAACAAGGAGCCTGTGGGCCTGAGACCTCCTCCTGGCTGCGTCCGAGCACCCCTCCCCACTTAGTAAAACATCCATCTCCTCATGCAGAAGGATCCTGGTCAAAAGGGGGGAAAATGCTGAACAGAATTCCAAATGCTCATGGAATCCAGACTTTCTGGAGCCATGGAGGCTGGATGAACCCCTAAAACCACTGTTCTAAGATAATCTCTAAACTTTACAGCAGCACTAGTCCCTGAAGTCGTCTTAAAAGCAAGCAACAGCCGGTGGTCAACAATATCTGCCTTGGGCACTGCGCTCATCTAAGAGCTATCGCTATGGGAGCAAACGGACAACTGCATCCAAAGATTCGACAGGAGACTTAGGGGCAATGAGTTTATGGCAACAGGGGAGGAAGAGCTGACAAAGAGAGGGTGAGAGGGGCTGCACGGCTCGGAGCATGTCGTCAATGTCACTAACGTGTACAAGCAGGAAGAGCTGAAGTGGTGTACGTGTTGCTGGGTATACTGTCCCCAACAAAATAGACAGTCGTAACAGGAAGGGCAGTGCCGGCAAAGGCAGGGAGAGAGAGCTCATATGTATATAGTGAAACAGTCTGTATGGGATCACATGACAAGAGCACCTTGAAAGATTAGATGGGAAACTCGGGGCAGTGAGCCTATCTATGTCAATGGGGGAACCACTTGGAGGATGAGAATGGGTGCAGAGCCCAAAGGCTGTCCAGTGTCCCATGTAGAAACTGCTGAACTAGTCTGTGTTCTTCTGTGTGTATCTCAACAACAGAAATAAAATGAATCACCCAACACAACGTCCCATCTGCTCTGTAGCCCACGGGACCCGCCATTCCTCGACCTCCGGGTCCGCTGTATCCCCATCTAAAATACAGTCGATTCCTGTTCACAGCAGTAGTTCCGTGTCCCCAGTGAAGTCCCTGTGCATACCGAATTACCAAATATCAAACCAGCCTCGGGGGTCGCGACGTGAATTTTCCGCTGCTCCATGCTTGTCCAATGATCAGGAAAGCCCCCCGGTAGTGATGTTAGGATCACAGACACGTTTATTGCGTAGGCAGATTTGCAAAAATGGACTCCACAAACAATGAAGAGGGACCGGGCATCACGGATCCCACCCTGCTGAAAACTCATCAATGTCTTGCCTTGACAACTGAAAAGCAAACCCAGTGCCATGGAGTGGATTCCGACTCATTACCAGCGGGCTGACTCTGCGCCTGCCCGCCCCTCCTCCGCATCCTTACAGCACCCGGAATGAGCTGTTTAAGTGGAAATCAGATGGCGTCATTCTCCCACTCAAAGGCCTCCAGACTCCGACTGCACTCAAAATCCGACATGGTTACGGTGACTGACAACACGCCTGCAGACCTGGCGCCTGCTCTTCTCTCTGAGCCCAGTGTGAGTGGAAGCCAACGCTGCCTGCTCTAAATTTAGCTTCCCTCCACCCCCCTAACTCCATCCCGTCACACTTTTGTTTCCTTTCTGGAACCTATCGCGGTACTTATTGCCTCCTCTCACTAGACTTCCACCTCCATGACAACGCGTCTTGTCTGTCTTGCTCGTGTCTCTCCCACGGAGGCGCTCAGTGCATGTTTGTTGAATGAATACACGTCCGCAGTTACTCTCCAACCCTGAGTGGGGAATTTGGAGGCGACTCCGCAGTGACTCCATGGCAGGCACTTCTCCCTCAAAGGACTCCCTTGGGCGTTGAAATGCATCACTGGGCACTTGCAGAATCATCCCTCCTCCCCACCCCAACGTGGCTGCCCCGCTCATGCCCTCCCGGAGTCTTTCGGGGTCACCTTCTCAATCTCCTACCGAAGGCCACAGTCCTAAAGCGTTTCTGAGCTTCCGCCCCTCTCCAGTTCCCGCCCCCTTAAGGGTTCCGAGGCAACACCTCCGGATTCCTCCTCCTGGACGTAGCCCCGCCTCAGATGTCCCGGCCAATTCCAATTGACAGCTCCATCCGCAGACTCCGCCCATAAAAGGCTCCGCCCCCTCCCCGCCCC